TCTTCAGAGCCATTCAGTTGCAAAACAGACCCTGTATTACAAATATAGGTTTAAAAAGCCAATGACATTTTAGAATTCATTCTTGTGTTTTACTAGGCCTAGACTGCATTATATCTATAGATGTTGATCAAAAGAAGTTGTGCAGCTATTGAGTAGGCTTACCAGCTGCTATCACAAATAAGTATTAAGTGGCAAGAATGAAGAGAACTTTGAAATAAAAGGCAACAGTAAAGCGTTGGTTTCATGCATCTTTAGTGTTTATTTTGGAAAAGCATAATTAGCTGACTTTAATAATGTGTTTACGTAGTTTGAAGAGAGCTTTGCTTTTTCAGGTGAGGGCTGGGTGAAGTGCTCTCAAGGAAAAATGACTTTTAAATCTAAAAAGATAATATTTATTTATTGTGACTAAATTTAAATATATTTACAGAATTAAAAATTTGGTCTTACCTAACAATTTGAGACATTATAACTATTCTGGTTATGAGAAATTTAAACTAATTAACTGATATCTGCAAATATCCTGGTCTGATCCTTAACCTTTATTTATCTATAGTAAGCCTGCTTGCTAATTTTTTAATTTATGAATGGGTCATAGAATGTAAACATTTTGTTCTGTTTTAAACTTCCTTTTTATAAGAAGGTTACTTTTATGATCTGGGCTTAGAGTATAATAAAATATTCATTATGACAAGATTTTTATGTTTGTGGATTTTTAATATTGTAAACCGCCCATAGTAATCTGTGTGTGAACTGTTCTGCCATATGAATTTGTTTAATAAATATAATTAATAAGCTCACCTTGTTCTTCATGAAGCTAATCAATTGATGATGTAATAAGGCAACCAGCTCTGATACTGATTAGGACTGACTGGCCCAAAGTCATCTGATTAGCTTCCATGCCAAACTAGTTTCCTTGTTTCTAATTCAGCATCTTAACCTCTGTACCATGATGGTTTTCAAAAAGTTTCTAATAAACTTTTAAGAAATGTTTTGACCATAAACAGAATTTAGCCCTTTCGTTCACATTCTCAGAATGGACATATTGAATTTTTAAGTTATGTCAGAATATTGGAATATTGCAATTTTTTTAGAAGATTCCCAGTAAGGAACTTTATTTTTATGTTAGTATCTTCAAGGTGGAGACGCTTTTTCTCCAATACACGAGATGAAGAATCCACCAATGGGTTAGCTCTGTCTTCCTGACCATTAGACCAAGTCAGCCAAACTTGCCACACCCCTCCTGGGCTAGAACACACCCAGTCTTGACTTGGTCTCAGCCCAAACGGACGTGACAGGTTTGGCTCCCAATTTAGCTGCAGGTAATAGAGTTTAGTTCCATTGGTGGATTCTACCTTTCTCTTGGCATCCACAGTCATCTCAACAGCGCTGGGATCAGCGCTGTTTGAGATTGTCTGATAGAGGCTTAGGGGGTGGTTTTCCCCAGGGCCCTGGGGCTAGTTGCTGAGGCTTCAGCTTCAACCCTGAGTGATTCTTTCCCTTTCAGATGCTCAGCGCTGGGTTCAGTGCTGCAGCCCCAATCTCTCCCCAACTCCCCAGGGACGCTGCAAGAGGTTCTCCATCTTGCTTCATGTCAGATCATTCCGGCTGCCAATTTGACCGTCGTGGGTGAGCCACGGCTGCCGATCGGACACCCAGGGGGGGTTTCGAGGCTGCACCCTCGCTACCTCCCTGAGTTCCCCTCCGAGGGAAGGAAAGGCTCACGTGATTGCCGCAAAACCATTGTCAGCAGTTTTTCGCGCCTCTCCTCTCCGAAAGCAGCAAAGACTCATGTGATTGCCGTGGAGCCATTGTCAGCCATTTTTTCATGCCTCCTGTGAACTGATCGGTGCGGCCGCCATTTTGGCACGCCTCGTTTGGTGGCTGGGAATGTCAGGCCTGCTAGTCTTTCTCCCTCATCATTGTGAAGGCTCTTATCATTGGCGCAGCCGCAATTTTGGCCGCCGCTTGCCTGGCCTGGCCTGTATTCCTCCCTTGTTGTCGCATAGGCCTCAATAACATTAGCTCAGCCACCAGTTTGGCCGCTGCCAGCCAGGCCGGGCCTGTAATCTTCCATCCCGCGTAGCCGCCATTTTGAATATGTAGCAGGGACATACTTTAGGGACTAAAGTAGCTCCATATTCTGAAATATCAAACAATGTAAGTTCGGATAATACAACATTTTGTTCTGAAGCGTAGCTAAATCATTATTAAATGTTATTTGATTTTGTTGAATTTAAATTTCTGTTTACAAAGTGTGCAAATCTCTTTATGAAATGAGTTTATTGTACATTTATTGACATGGCTGGACTGATCATGTCTTAATTATTGGGTTTTAGGGAAGTTGAACTTCACCTGAACAAAATACTCTTCTTTCTTCTTAACCCAAAGTTGCAAGGATGTTCAATGCATTTCTCACTGTATAGGATGAAACACTTATTTGGATAGAACTCTCTTATTAATTTGTGTATTAAAATGTGTTTTAAAAAATGATAGGTATTGACTGTGAGGGAAAAAAGCACTGTATATGGATGTATTTCTGATTATCCTTAGCTTCCCATCTTAGTCTCCCATTTCATAATCTAGTCAAGTTTTCCCTATCCTAAGTTTTTTTCTAATTGCAGCCAAATTACGTTGCTGTATATAATTCATTATAAGTACTAATTTGCAAAGATATGTATATGCATTGTGCTTATGTTCATCTGAAGACATAGTTGAGATGCTGGCAACAGTGATTTCAGTATCATAAATCACTACTCAAATATTATATTTTGAGAGGAGAACGTAATAATTTTACTATGAAATGAAATATGTTCTGTTTACTTCCATGAAATTACATAGAGAAATGTAGTCTATTCATAATGTTTGAAGAAGTGATAGGGATGATATGCTCATTATATGTTCATTATTATCTTATTTTTAATAGCAGCTTACTCACAAGGTTACTAACTCATTGTTTTGTGTTAGACAAGATTTTCACTAACTGGAACCCAACTATACTAAATATTTCAAAATTATGATTCTGGATCTGGGGCCAGTCAGGAAAACTGTTTACTATCTGAAACAATATGGCACCCTCCCATTTTACATGTAGAAAATTAATTGGAATGGCAGCAGAATTGGTGAGGAAGTGTATATTTCATTTCATTAAAAAGGAATGACCTCTTTCCACTGTTTCACACATATAAGCCTTATTCTATCCAATAATAAAGCAACGCCTAGTTGGATTTAACTCTGTCTGATATTGTGGCAGAAGAAATGCCTATTACTTCTCATAGAAAATCTTAACAGATCTTCTAAGGAGGCATGTACCAAAGCATCACATAACAAATATGTAATGTAAAATCCTAAGCTAATAGAAATACATGTAGCAATAAAAAAATAAAAGTAATAAAATGCATTTTCAAAAGGCATTTTTTTTCTTCAAAAAGCACAACCATGACCTGGTTGACTGAGAATTTACATAGACATTTAATAATAGAATACGCTTTCTAGAGAAAGTTATGGGAATCTAATGTTTGTCATATTCACCATGTTAAATTCAGGTAATAGAAAGGGATTATTTTATTTTATTTTATTTATTATTTTCTGTCCAGTTCATTTTGAAGTGACTCTGGATGGCTAACAGTATTAAAAGCATTAAAATAATGAAACATAATACAAATATTTCTAAAACAATACAAATGGAAATTACAATGAAAAATAGAATTATAATTTAAAGATGGGGAGCGAGCAAGATATGTGGAAGGGGGGAGGTGATATTGCCTTTTATTTCATTAACCATCTCCAGTGTGATGCCTCCCCCATTGTGGCCTCAAGCCATCTGGCAAAGCCAGGTCTTCAGGCTCTTGCAGAAGGTTAATCATCAATCTCATGTCAGTGCATAAGATTCCAAAAGGCAGACACCATGGCAGAGAAGGCTCTTCTGGATCCCACCAGTGGAAATTCGTTGGCTGATGGAACCCACAATATTTCTTTTATGGGGTGGGGCAGGCCAGTCCCAGTGGGTAAGACAGTTCTTCAAGTAACATGGACCCAACCTGAATATGGACATTAATCTCAGAGACTGTACTTAGATAAATATATGAAATAGCAGGCTTTTTTAGAATAGGTATTACTTCTGGACTACCTTGTACAAAAATTATTCCATCACAAAAGTATTCAAGTAATTAAATATAAAGACAGATTTCCTTAGCAGGAGTTTTATATCCTATGTCTTATAGCAGTGGTTCTCAACCTGTGGGTCGGGACCCCATTTGGGGTCAAATGACCATTTCACGGGGGTCGCCAAACCACGCTGTCTGCCATTTTTTCCCTTTTCCCTAGCTGTCCTACTGCCTCTTATTGGTGGCCACACCCACTTGGGGGTCACCACAACATGGGGAACTGTATTATGGGGTCACGGCATTAGAAAGGTTGAGAACCACTGTCTTATAGGATAAGATATAACAGTATGTATGGGGCCTATATGATTTCTCCAGGTACTGAATGTTCAAGGTAACTCAGTAATATTTGGTGTCGCAGTTACACTATATGGTATTTTCCTATATTATTATTGTTGTTATTGTTATTCTGTGGGGAAAATGTCATATAGTGTAACTGCCAAATAGTGTAATACTAAATATTATGTATTCTCCATTACATAGTTGAAAAGTTGCAGCTTTGAAATTCTTACATAACCTTCTATTCATGAAATGTAATTACTACTTGGCTCTGTTCAAGAAAGCAATATCTTTGGACAATATCTTCTATTATATATCTTCTCAGATAAACTATTGTTGTCCAGATGTTTAATACTTCATTTCCCATCATCCATGTCCACAATAACATAGAATTTGGGAGCTGTAGTTTAAAAAGTCTAAATACCTCTTAAATACTTGTCATTCATGGTTTTACTTTTTCTCAACTGATTGTTGTGAATATATCAGAAATAAAATTTAAAACAGCTAAAGATGTCTTACCCATTTGACTAATAAAATTGTTTCTCCAAATTTCTTTTTCAGAAACAAGAAGCAATGAATATAATGGGACTCCTAAATAAAAGACTTGCTGCGTCAGAACTAAAATGTCAATAGGATGTTCTCTCTCTTTTTGTTTCTCCTTTCATTGCTGCTCTCACTGCTCATAACATCATTTTATTATCAAAGAATGGTAGAGAAAAGTGGAGCAAAGCTAATAGTCTTTCTCTTGTAGTCTCTCTGGATGTAGTCTTTTCATAAGTGTCTTGAACTTGACCTCTTTTGAACGACACAGAGGTCCAACACACATTTTAAAAAGTTATATTTAAATTTTAATGTTTTTTTTTAATTCTGCAAAGCTATTTAATAACACACTCTCAAAACACAGAGCGTAAATCTTTCAGGATGGTCATAGAACAGAAACTGGTGGACAAAGCAAAGAAGCTCAGCAAATGCCCTGAAGCAGCTTTCTTTCTTTTACATAGATACCTATCACAGATGAATGTTCACGTGGTTTTTAAAAAGCTTTATTATGATTTAATCACCATGGTGCTGATACTAAAAATATAATTTAGTAAAGAATGAAGTTTGCTTTTTTAATACCCCACCCCTCATTATAAAAATGTTCTTTGTAGTGAGGCAATGGGGGCATTAGAAAGATTTACAGTAACAATATAAGTGACTATAATGAACTAGGGAACAAGGGAGTATTGTTATGATAGAGATCCTCTAGCATTTCTATCAGCACAAATATTGAGGGACACAGTCTCCTTTCTGTGTATCTGTATATTAATATTAACATGAGCAGTAATTACAGGTACTTGGGATAAAGTTTATTTATGAGAACAGAATACTTAAAGGTAAGCTGTAAAAATTAAAGTCATCTACCTGTAACAAAACCATTATCACCCATGGCTGTTCTGCAGTATGTCAATTATGTTTATTCAGAATATCTAAGCATCTTTACATTCTACTAATATTATTAATATTAATTTGCCATACTTTATTTCAACTTCTAATACAGCTGAGCTTGGGGACCTGTCCTTATTTATTGAAGGACAGAACTGGCCACATCATCATTTGTGTAACTAAAACCCACTCAAATCATGCTGGTACAGCATTGATCCTTTGCAAGCCTTATTAGAATGAAAAGTTCTTAACCTACATTGAAGGTTTTACCTTCTAAGTTTTACCTTGTCCTTAAAATTTTTATATCTTGCTGTTTATCTGTTTAAGTAGAAGAGCCTGTTCCTACATGTCAGTGATTCAGCGCAACCATTATCAAAATTATCAAGCTTTGATCAAAGAAAAGATAAGCAAGGATAATATCCAGATAGCATTTTTACAACACTACCTCAGAATTTTCCAGTTAATTCTCCAAGTTCAGATAACCTCAGAAAATACCAATAAGATAAAATGGGTTTTGCTCTGATTGTCTATAGACTGTCCTATTCTCACCTGTTAATTGTTTTAAACAAGCAAATGATGGAAGCAATTATGATAGAATTTGACCAGTTTTTAACAGTTGCCATAGCACATTTGACCAGCAGTTGTGGAAAATTTTTAAAGGATGAATTCACCATGAAGGTACTGCAATCAGTAAGTATTCCCATTACTATGAAGATTACTTTATTTATGCAATTATTTTGGCTTACATGTAACTCCATTTATGAAGGCTTCAAATAGCTTTCAATTAACATAAATTTAAAAACTAGAATATTAATAGTATAATCAATACAGCAAGAACATTTTGATGTATCGCTCATTTGAGCAGCAGATCTTTAGTCATCCCCATATGCTGTCTGGCAGAGCCATGATTCCATAATTCTTTGAAAATGGGGGATTCTGGAGCTGAAATCCACAGATCTTAAAGTTATTAAGGTTGAGAAACACTGGTCTAAGGTTAGGCTGTTTCAGAAATGGGGGGGGGCATTGCTGAGTACAATATGTGTTTTCTGTTGGTGACCTTCCTGTAGGCTTGGAATTCTCAACAAGTTGTTCTTAATAGATATCATTGGGCAGACAGATTCAACTTGGATGAACTATTCAGTTATTTTAACTTTTAAAAATGCAAACAGGATATCATGAGAGAGAGAAAAATGTTTTCATGTTGGATTTTTCTAAATATTAAAAAGAACCAGGGAATCATTTGTATATGAAAATATTTATCAGGAAGAGACAAGTTATTGCTACAAGAGCAATGAGTTTATGAGAATTTCTTTGCCATAATACATTGTTCAGAGAAAATATTCTATCATTTATGGGATATTGTTCTCCTGGATTTAAAGATTTATTGATAGCCTGGCTGGTAAATCTTGGCTTCTATGAGAATGGCCTAGTGGCCTAGTGGTAAAGTCACTTTTCTCCTGCTTAGAAGGTTGAGCGTTAAATCCTGGGTAGTGGCAGATGTTTCTTTCCTAGGGTGGAAAGAAAAAATATCTGCTGCAAACCCCGCATAGGTTTCTATAAGATTGTGATAAATCTCCAGACTCTTCTAAATGTGTCTTACTATGTAAGAGATTTGAAAGTTTCTTTTCACATTTTGGTTGTAAAAGCGTGTTTATTTTTAACCTAAAACATACTAGTGAAAGCTTTTTATGTATGTGCAATTATTTTGGCAATAGATTATCACATTGTATGTATGTATGTATGTATGTATGTATGTATGTATCAGCAAAATTCTTATCTTAGTATCAGAACAATGTATTTTTAATTTTATAAAGTCTAAGGGGAAAAATGCATTATTTCGACATTGGGCTTAAAAAACCAGTCTAATGATACATGCTGATCTGTCAGTTTTATCTTTGTTTAATTCCCAGTTTGCTAATATAGAACATCCAAATGTTGTTTAACATGCAAAGTTTGTACACATAGAGCAGGTGTGAGGGGGGTACATAGGAAATTGCAACGAGTAAAGGGTGTAGCCTTTTTCTTCTACTAATGGAAATAATTGGAGTGGAAAAAATGCATCATTTTTTTATTCAAAAAGTCAAAATAATCTAGTTCAGCTACAGTTTTTTTAACAGAATTAATTTTATTTAAATTTGAATACACTGAATTAATTTTACTGTTCATTCCTCAGGCTGTAAAGTTATTCATAATATTTATCTTGACTCAATCTTCTTGGTGGTTTCTTTACATCAATGGACATTGTACAATGTGTAATATAGTCTTGCTAATGGGCTCACTTTAAAGTATTTCTCCTCAAGGTTACTACTATTGTAGCATTATTTGCAGTGATAACTCAAATTTAGAAAGGTGTGAAAAGAGGGTGTGGTTCTCTACAATTACCCTAAAGTTATTTTCAAGGGTAATTTTCTGCACTTTCTAATTTGCTTCAAAAGATTAAGTCTGGAATGAAAAAGTCATTTTTTAATCTCTTAAATGTTGGGATAACTGATCACAATATCCAGTCCCTTGGACTTTGCTGAATCATTACCTAAAAGAGAATATTGTGCAATTGTGAGCACTTGAAAAAAGTTCTAAAAAAATATAAAATGACTATTATAATTTAACTTCTGTTCTTGATGCTGAACAATGACATACAATGGAAATTTAATTTTTGGCCATTTTGTAAATCTTCCCTAGAAACCATTTAATCCAATGAATGCTAAATTTATGTCTTAGTATTTTACAATAATGAAAACTGCACATTAGTTGTATCCCAGACTGTATAAAGATACATTTCAGGCAAAAAGTCTGTATTGGCTCTAACCAGGTTAATGTTTCTCTCCTATTTACAGTGCTGGAAGTATAGCAATCTGGTCTCTGTTGAGAGTAAAGGGAAATGGGAAAAAAGGAGTATCAGATCTGCTAACCAGGCCACATATGTAGAAAGCAACTAACAGCTACCTATGGCTCCTGGGCTATGAATTGGTCATATGTCTTTCAAAGATAAGCAAAATTTGGAAGATGAAATAGAAAATAAATGTCCAAAGAAACATGTAAAAACATTTCTTACTACATGATCAATCTTTGCTACTGATAAGAATATTATTACTTTAAATAAACTATCCTCTCATATAGTTTGCATAGCAATTTATAATTGTCAGTTCAGCTACTAGGTATTTTTAAAATAAGGTTTCATGCTGGAAACAAAAATAAGAACTTCCATAAGTTTTCATATTTTCATATGGGTCAGATCAGCTTTTGTAAATCTCTGGCATCAGAGGAATGCCAAGATCTTTTCAAAATTATAGTCAACATTATACAGTATTTAAAGGTATTATCAACATGTATTTGCAAATCTGGGTTTACCAACATTTTTTCCCAAAAAAATTTTCCACTCATATGACATATGACACATTCATCTAAAGTTTTTCTGTTAAAATTATTTTAATTTTATGAAAGTAATGGTTCTTTCAAATTGCTATTAGCCACCTTTTATTATATGGATGGTGTCAGCTAAGAAGGAATGCATTTCCAAACTCTACTTGTTCATTTATGTAACAGAACTAGTTGAGGTTTTGGACTGGAACTGGGTAAATCAAAGATTAGGTCTTCGTTTGAACTCTGAATTCTGAACAACTTTATGAAATAGACTAAGATACAGTAATTAACCCACCATCAAAAAATGATGTAAAATTGATAATCAATAAAATAAATATTTAGACATTCAAAAGATTCTTGTCTTTTATTGATGTTTATTTTAGGTACTTTTATGTTACCTCTCAAAATGGTAGGGATAAATAAAAATATACAATAATATTAAACAAATGAAAACAAGCTATGAATCAGTTCTACTCTATAATATCAAACCTATGGTATTCATTTTTCTTCTCTTAAAAATTCCTGTTTAATCACTGGATAAGCCATATAGCTTACTTTAAATCTCTTCTCTTATTCCACTCTGGTTTTAAAGTACACAACATGCCCATAGTTCTTTTGCTAGTGTAACCTGTCTGCAGTACAGTAACAAGGTTACTCACCAAGAGTTGTTTTACATGCCATTAAGGCACTAAGAACTTAAAAAGTATGAGAAACAGCACAAATGTTTCCAGATGTTGACATTTTTTATTAGAAAATTTAACTAACACGACATATTACTATCTTATTCAATTCTTGCTTCATGTAATAAACACTAACACATTTCCATCTCCCCCCCCCCCAAGACCTTTGTAAGAAATAAGTATCTCTACTGTAATTATGGGACTCACTAGGGATGTCATAATTCTTGCTTGGAATTTTCTGAATAACTTACTAGCGGCCACAGTTTATTGAGAATGACTAATTAGTTTCATAAATGAAAATAGAAAGTTGTGATACTGAATAGTAGTATTAATCTAAGCAATAATGAATCTTCAGATGGTTTTTGTTTCACCATTTTTATTCGGTCATTGGTTAGTAATTTATTTATAGTTCTCTCATAAGATAAGCCTTGATAGAAGTGCTGTTAATCTTATATCCAAAGGTTTCATGAATGCAAACTTATGTCTTCAACTCACTAATTTATGCACAGCATAACACAAAATTCTTTTGCATTAATAGTAAGTATTAAACCATCTGTTGTTAGTTAACATCCATTCACAACTTAAATATAGGATTCATGTCTCAACAGTTCCATGTTCAAATGTTGGTATTCCTAAATACAGTGGAGAATTTCTCCTTGAAACCTTATAACCAGTCAGCATCAGAAATACTTAGCCAGGTGGATTACTAAACTAACTGAGTAGAAAGCAATGTTCTGTATTCTTACTGTATACCTTCATATGCTGTCCATCTTGAAAGGGGTAGGATAGAAGAATTCAACAAGGAGCCATGGTGGTTTACTCAGTGCAATTACGTATGCTAGTTTCATGTGTTCCATCCCAGATGTTGATTTTCCAGATAGTGGATATACAGAGAATCAATCTACTCTCTTCCAGATTTAAAAATTATTACTAATATTGCTATCAGTAATTTGCTGAAATTGTCTTACAATTTGTCAAAAGGTTTTTTTTCCTTCTCTAAAAGTGGAGATGAAACACTTGAGAAATGCTTCAGAATTTCTAGTGAGCTTTTGGTGAACAGAACTTTCATCCACTCAGAAGCCCCTTTGATTCCCATACTTCTTAATTTGAAAAGCCTCAATTAAAATTTTATTGAAGCCTAGAAAGCCAAGGAAATTACAGGCTGCTGGAAAGAGAATTCTATAAAAAGTCATGTATTTCTTGACTATCCCTTAACTAAACAGGAGCAAGAACACTTTGTTTCTATCTTGGTCCATGGGGCTTTCAGTGGAGAGTTCTACTCAAGACTAACACATTGTGTGCTCGCCATTAAGTGATTGGGTTGAACAGTTTTTTTGAAGGAGCAAATTCAACCATTCAATATGTCAGTCAGTGATGACATTTAACCAATAAGGTCATTTTGTAAGTAGCATTTATTTAGAGATCCAGTGCGTTTCTTCCTGAAATCTCTTCAATGTTTAATTCAGATTCTCTTGAGTATTCCATTTTAAAAATTTAATTTTAATGTCTAATTCTGCAGAACTCCATCTGCAGTGTCAATTTAGGGCTGGTGTAGAGCTTCCAAACTCATGACATTGGGTTCCTAAATTTCTTCTTTTTATGTGTCAAAGAGAATGAGACTTAAGAAAAAATCTGCAGGAAAAAAGTTTGGCATGACTAACAGCAATTGATGAAAAATTATTACAAAATACATACAAAGAGGGAAGTGAAAGAAAAAAAGCTAGTAATGGTGCCAGCATTCATAATTACAGTACCTGTCTCTTAATAGAAATTTATCCTGCCCTGAGAACGATAAGTTTTGTTTATGTTCTGGTACATGATGAACAAAGAAGTATAAGCTTTGTTCATAGAACCTCCAGGTATAATTTTAAGAACACCTGTTACAACCCCCCTTCTTTTGCCAAAAGAAAAATTCATATTAAGCTACTGTATGAACATGCAATCAAAAAATTAACTGTAACTCAGCCTACTACACACACAAAAATGGCAGAACAAACCATAATATTTCTGTGATATTATAAAACATTGCATTATCTTTACAATCTCTAGTTTCAATCACCAGAATATCTGGAATGTATCCAGTCTTAAACATATCCAAATATATATCCTTCCCTTGATTACTTCCTCCTTGTATTGCTTGTCTTGAATACTATAGTGGCAGAATGCCAAGTACAAAAAATTCTATTTCTGGTCATTATAATTGTAAGTAAGCATATTAAGAATACTGTTAGCCTAGGAAAGTAATATATTCCAGACTTTGACATTTGAGTCTGGCAACTGATATATTTAAGGGACTGAAACTGGTATGGGAAAGGGGACACTTGAAAGCAAATAATCATAGCTCATATAAATACTAGGGAACGTTTTATATCTAGACAAAGCCATGTGGCATCTGAAACTATGATTTTCTAATTTGCTCAAGATTGGCATTGTGATTTTTATTCCTGGCCATGAAGAATCTTGGAGTGATCAGTTCTGCTTTTCTGGCTTCCCACTACTTCACACCTCAGACCTTTCACTGCTGATTTCCCTCATGGCAATCTGTCTACTTTATGATGTTGCTAAAACTCAATTTTCAAGGTACATTGGGGGTATAGATAAAGGGGGAGAGAAGAGCATAGTAACTGAAATACGTTCTTCAGCAATTTTGCAGAGTTGGGGATTGGTGGATCCTAAATTTCAAGCAAGTGAAGGGTTCCACAGAAAAGTCACAGATTTAAAGCACACTATTTTTTTTAGTGAACATAAGAAAATATATTTTAGATTATCTTTGCTGTGAAATAACTATTCAATATGTGATAGGAAACTTTTGGTTCTCAAAATGTTGCTAAACAACTTTTCCAATATTATCCCTTGCTGGATATATTGTTAGACTTTGATTGATGACTTTGAGATTATCTGAACAGTTGTGGGGGAGAGGTTGCCATCTAGTCTTAGAGAGTTGCCTTCAGAATATTTAGATAAGAATTGATGGTATAATTTAAACATCTCAAATTTTACAAATAATTATCAACAGAAGAGGGAATTTTTTCCAATAATGGTATAATATCTGAGAGAAATTCTATAAAAGTATCTAGGCATAGCTTTTTATATACATTAAGAGAATATAGTCATCCATAGAAATATGATATAGGTCTAGTGGATACTTTTGTTCATATTTATAAACTGGATTATTCATATAGAGCCGTGGTGGCGAACCTATGGCATGGGTGCCAGAGGCAGCAATCAGAGCCCTCTCTGTGGGCACGTGCACCGTCGCCCCAGTCCTAGGCCTTCAGCTTGGTTTTATAAAACCTTTTCGTTTTAGGCCTCTGCCACTGTGTACAAAAAAAAAAAGATTCAATCAATCAATTTCAACTTCTCACGGGGAAAAAAAAGATCTTGCAAAGTTGGAATTGATTGATCGAAATTTTTAGTCCCACCCAATCTGCTGCTACCACCGCAGCCATGCCCACCTAATGGGCTACACCCACCCGGTACTCAATGATGCATAAGTGGGTTTTGGTTGCAGTTTGGGCACTCAGTCGCTAAAAGGTTCACCATCACTGATATAGAGCATATTTTCCCATGCTGAATGATGTCTGACTCTACAATTATAATACAGATATAAGTGCTGAAATTGATGCAGGCCATTAATATGTGTCTGACTCTTCAAGCAGATATGCTTCAATACCATAGTAAGAGCCTATAGTCCAACTCTAAAATTAAACAGTGGCCACAGATCTTCTTGCAACTCCATTTACTGTGAAATTATTTATTAATGCTTTGTTCCAATATCATAAACAAGTGGAAAGATGGTAGACGAGTTCACTCAGACAATGAGCCAGCTAAGTATGGCAGAATCTCATAGCTAGTGGATCCCATACCTGCCTTGGTCTAAGATTCAGCAGCCGTATACTACCAAGCTAGACAGAAATTCTAATACAGTTATGTTACTATAAATTGTACTTCTCCCTAAGACAACATTTTCTCATGGACTGACTATGGTTTATAATTGACTTAATAACAAAGGAACTACAAAATGCCCAATCCTCCTTCTTAGGCAGAACAGTCCAGACTTAGTGTGGTGGTCTCCCATGGAAAATGAGACACGCACACAGGTATCTTGGGATGGGAGCTCAGAGCTGACTCCAGCCCCCTATTTTATTGTTACTAAGATTTTTACATCACACAGCGTAATCAAAAGACGTATATAGGGTGGTTACAATATATCAAATAACAGACACTTTCCAGATGCAAGGCTACAGCAGGTGTTCTTATCAGAGTCTGTCCAAAAGGCTGATGTATGCATCCTGTGTCTAGAGCCTGTCCGTTTGTTATCTCTGGGGCCCTTGTGGGAGATGCCCATAGACATTTTTGTGCAATTAATCCCACATCTCCTGCTTTTCTGTTTTTTCAATGTTACTCACTTCCAGTTCCAGAAGGGATCTTGATTCACTGATTAAGGCGTCCTTCCTAGTGGAGGGCATAACATTTTTGCACATTTGCAGGAGGGAGGGAATACATTGAATGCAACAACATAGCAATACAAATAATATCAAAATGGTTACTATAATAGAAATCAAAGATTGTAGCCAGGATCCATCTGGAAGCCAGGACCAAGGGGCACCCCAAATATCCACGGTGCCTGATCCATCGCTGCGTAAGGGATTATTTTGGAGCAAAGATTCCA